TGGAATGCTCTTGTCTCTCTTCCATGTAAGGGATCAATAAAAAAAAATTAGATCAACCTTGAGCCTGGTGGGATTTGAATTGCTAAATTGCAGTCAGCCAGTAGACAGCAGAAATAGCCTGCAGTACTGCATTCCAACCACTGCGCCACCACGGCTCTTATTGTTATACTCCATTAGCTCTCAAGGAGGAAGTTTCTAAATGGAGAATACTATTTTATTTATATCAGAAAAAGTTGATCTAATTTTTTTTTATTGATCCCTTACATGGAAGAGAGACAAGAGCATTCCATATACCCTCATAAGATAATAAGCGAAGGAACATTATACAAATATCTGAAAACTTAGCATTTTTAAAGCCAGGATTAGAGCACATCTCCTCCTATTATTCATATGTACATACATTCATATGTATCTCCTTTACAAGCAAGGAAAACCTTTTTCATGTTCTTGAAAAGTGGCAAAGCTCTACTGTACCAAACACAACAGAGTTGGATGACAACAGGACTTCTTGAACAAAATACAAGTAGAAAAATATTGGTAAAATACTAATACATAACACTAGATAACTTATTCTGTGTTTCTTTAATTTTCATGTTATTCAAACAGAATTTTTTTGATGAAAATAAATAATCATTAGCATTACTAGGAACTGGACTATTTTGCATTTCCCCTTTTTAAAAATCTGAACCCTGGACATCAAAAACCATTTTGATGCCCAGGGAAGACAGATGTAAACTCCTTGCAATGAAGCATCTGCTTTCTTATAAAATAGTGAATGAATGGCCTATCATTTCAGAGTGTTTCACATTTTACAGTGAAAGGAGAGAACTTCTGAATTCTGCTACCTCTGCTTAATTTATAAGTTTTGCCCTTTTTTCTTTGCATTTATGCCTCTGGACTGCAATCTATAACTATATGGCAGAGATATTAACGCATTTGACAGGTTCAAGATATGACTGTTAGGTTAAAAACATTTAAATTCCCAGACTGAATTTTGGCTAAAGTCTATTTTAATCTTGGTTTCTTAATCTGCAGGGCAGAGTTATTGATGATGGCTCTGAAGTGATCATATTTTGTGATAGGGCACCTGCATGAAATCTCAAATTAATTCTCAGTTGTTTCTAGTTTATGAAAACTTTTTAAATTGAAGGCCTAGCAGAATGCTTCACATCACCAGTGAGTTGTTGCTAGTCAGACAATCTCCATAAAGTGTGATGATGACCACTATTTTGGATAGCCTTTAAAAAGTATTGCATACATTCATGATGGACAGATCTTTCAATGCCCCCCCCCACATCTGAAAAGTAACCTTGAGTTTTTAAAAATTAAGAGTGATTGAAAGATTCGTCTATGAATTCTGCAGGGGAAACAACTCTAGGAGAAGGGCATATCTCATCTGCTATTTGTGAGAAACTATCTTACCAGGTATCTAATTGGCCATCATGAAAACAAAATATTGAATTAAGATGGACCTTGATCTGAATCAGCAAGCTGTTTCTTATATGCTAATAGTAGGGGTATGGAATAGTGAATTGAACTGTTTCTTAGATTCAGCAGTGTTTTACATAACTTGATAGCCTCATAATTACACCCCAATTATAACACCTCTATCATCTTATACTCCATGATTTATTTATTTATAGTTTCTGAAGATTAATAGGCAGGAGAGGCAAATTCCAATTCTGGAAAATGTCTGAAATGTCAAAACAATATATATATTACCATGTTAGGATGTTACTGTAATAAGGGGCAAGATTCTTTGCTAAACTCTCAGCGTTTTGTGTCAAAATAAACAATTTCTCTAACGTTTTTGAAAAAATCTGAATATATGCGGGTGGGGTTATTTTAGATCAACTATTTTTTTTTTCAAAATATGGTGAGGTTGTAGTAAAATGGAATAACTCTTAATTTGTATAGGTTGAAGAAAGTATAGCTATTGAAATGGTGTTTGAGGGAGCATTAGGTATCAATTTGGTACTCTCGTCAATGTGCTATTAATGCTGGGCTTGTTATTATAGCACCAGCCTGGAGGCTAGCTTGCTGGCAAAAACTAAGAATCTGAATAAACATGAGGCCAGTGAGCCATGATCAATTTTCCCCTTCCTTTCTTGAAGTGCTTGTATCTTTTTTCTCTCCCTCAAACAGAAGGAAATATTTCCTACATTCTTAGGTACTGGAAATGCACATGCAGGCACATATGAAGTATCTCATTCTAGGTATGAAGAACTGCATACCACCACTTCACCTCTTACCTTGGCTGGCTTGTCGATATTCTTACCTTTTCAAGCCTACCTTGAAAAAATAGGTGTCCTACATTCATGGTGCAGTAACAGTAGCTGAGTGACTGTGGGCCAAAGTCAATATTTTAAAAAGTGGGGCATGAGCAGGCTTTCTAATGGAGCTAAATGTTCTCCTTGAAATTGAAAGCCAGAACTTGGCAAAATAGCACAAGCTATTATAATTATGCTTAAGATATTCTTAACTGAATGAGTTGCTGCCCTCATGCTGCCAGCCAATGCATAAGATAACAAGATATATAATGGCATAGATATGTAATACTCCCCAAGCACATCAAAATCCAAAACTAAGGTAGGATTTTTACCAACCGCCCTTTAAGCTCTCAGTTTAGTGAGGCATTAGAAGATTATTAGAAACAAGGGAATAATAGTTTGCTACTTTATAATATGAACAATCAGTTTTAGTCATGAGGAATTCTACTTGGATTGCCCTATGGGTATCTTATGAATTCTAGTTTTTAATAACAGAAAATAAAAGATGTTCCCAGAGAAAGAACGGGAATAGAAAATGTGTATCTGGAAAAACCCTGAACATGGCCAATAGACTAGAATAAGTCAATTTGCATTCCAATACCAAAAAAGGGAGACTTAACAAAGAGTGCATACTATCATACAATATCATTAATTTCACATGCTAACAAAATAGTGCTTAGGATCATTTGTTGTAGATTCGAGCCCTACACTGAAAAAGATGTCCAAGCTGGTTTTAGAAAAGACCAAGGAACATTATTGCTGATTCATGCTGCAGAATTGAGAAAGCCAAAGAATACCAAAAAGAAGTCACAATGTGCTTCATAGAAAACCTTTGATGGTGTTGGTCACAGCAAGTTGTAGAAAGTGCTAAGAAAAATGCGGCCCTCACAACATCTTATTCTCATGAGAAACTTATGGAAAGATCAGGAAGACACAGTACAGCCAGAATATAGTGGAACAGACTGGCTCCAGGTTGACAACTAAATGCAACAAGGCTGTATGTATTCCCTTCTTTATTTAACCTATAAGCTAAATATATATTAAGCAGCTAGATAAGAAGAAGATTAACATTCAAAACTGGTGGAAGAAACATCAATAATCAGTGCTATGCTGATAATAATAGCCAAAATGCAAAGGATTTGCAAGACCTAGTAATAAAAGTCAAGGAGAACAGTGAAAAATGAGACTACAATAAAATATAAATAAATGCAATCAAATACAATAAATAGACCAGTTAGTCTTATTGACAACGAAGATAACAAAGTGGTGGATAATTTCTGCTTTTTAAGATCAACCATCAAAATAAAGAAACAGTCCAGAAATATGCCACAGACTAGCACTTTGCAGAACATTCATAGCAGATTTGAAAAGGTATTCAAATGCTTGATATGCCTATATCTACAATGATCAAAATCATGCAAGCCATGGTATTACCTATGATTCTATATGGAAGTAAAAGTTGGACTTTGAAGAAGCAAGCTAGCAAAAGTATTGACGCTTTTGAGCTTTGATGTGGGAAAAGATGCCTCATTATATTGTAGGCAGCCAGGAAAACAAATCAATGTGTCATCAAACAAATCAATTAATCCAGGCTCAAACTGTCCTACTTCAGACATATTATGTTAACACCCAGATCTCTGAAGAAGGCGCTAATACTGGGAAAGGTGGAAGGAAAGAGAAGAAGAAAATGAAGAGAGCAAAGTGCACTGTTGGAAAAGCTGAAGGACCAGGATAGGACAAGTTCCTCCTGGAGAAAACTGTTGCCAGTAAGAGTTGATAATGGCCAGATGGCACATAATCTTCCTCATCTACAGAATGCATCTTTTATGTTAATGTTTGGTAATTTTCTAGTGACAAGAAGCTGCATATGAGAAAGGATGAATGTGCAGAAAAGGATGTGTTCAAAGTTCAAACTTCTACTTTTTCCTCGATCTTTCTCTTTATAAAATTTTCTGCATATAATTTAGAGAATTATATTTTAAAAATCTTGTCTAGGGTTGACCCTATGTTTTCCATTGCTTCACATTTAAAAATGATGGGCAACACCACACTGAGCTTTGGCTATTATTAGGTAATTATGGTTGTTCTGAGGGCCAAACAGTCCTTGGAAATGTAGTTGTGAATATATAATAGGACCTTATCCTAAATAGAAATGTGGAACATTAAGCCTTCAGTTCCTTTATTACACGTAAGATTTGATAAGGGAAAAGACAAAGGAAGCTTCTTTGTACAGTAAAACCTCGATTTAATGGACTTAACAAACTTTAAATTTGCAAACATCCAAACATCTCTCCAAAGCAGATTAAGTCCATTAAGTCTATCTGAAGCAGTCTGCTAAATTCACTTACATTTATAACTACTGTCATTTTACATCATTCTATCAATTTATTCCCATTACTTAACATATAATTATGAAATATTATAAACTGTCATAAATTGATTCAAATAATGTACATTCAGATTTAACAAACATGCATGGGTAAAGGATACCCCTGCCTTGCCAAATGGTTTGCTACATCAAGGTTTTGCTGTAGTTGGAAAATTTCCATTCAGAAAAAAATTCAGCAGTCTATTCTGCTGAATTCAGGAAAGCAGGATGGTGTTTTAGAAAAGTATAGTAGTATTTCAAGACTGATATTGGGAATCTCCCCTTCCTTATATAATTTATGCCAAAAACAACTGAGCAGATAAATCCATTGCTAGCAAAATTAAATTTCTGAAGAACAATCTGAAAAATTAATACTGTCGTTTGGCAAAATTAAACTCAAGTTAAAGTGTTAATCATTGTTTTTAACTACCATGTCAACTCAATTTTTTTCACCTTAAAATTGGGTTGAGGAACTTTGGATAAATGATACCATGTATCTCCTGACAAGGGGGAGTAAGAGTTCCTTGTTCAAATGTCTTTATGATCCATTTCCAAAGCGTTCCTTACTGCCATAAAACTCCCACTATTGAGAAACCATAAGAAAATGCAATAACCAATGAACTGTTTTTGAGTCTGAACGCATAAATAATGTACCTCTTCAAGAATCACAGATGAATGATCACAGGAAATGCAAAGTAAAAGCCAAAGTACAAGGCAAATTATTATTACTTTTTGGTTTCACCAGCGAGCCATCAATATCCCACTTTCAGCAAACTAGATTTAACATTTTTTTGTTCATCAAAAGTCTGTGCAGTGTGAGATATCTGACAGTTTCTATTGGCTTGTCTCCTCCAGCCAGATGCCTTGAAAAAAGTTTATTGAGACAATATTGCCCCTCAATAAGTTCCATTTGAACATGAAATACTGGATTCCTTGGCACGATACTGGCTGCAGTTGGGAATGATACAGAACATGCTCATCCTTTGAGACATCTTCTCTTGGAAGATATGCATTTATTCTCATTTGTCCTTTGTTTCTTGTACTTTAAAAAAAAGATCAAGTTTTAAGTGTCATTACTTTTGCACATGGCTTTGTAAGGCAGAAAAATCTACTGAATACAGTAATATGAAAGACACATCCAGTTTCCAGAAATCACCTCTTGTTTTGTCAGTTTTAAAAAATCTGATTGATCAAAGACTCAGGTCTTGTATGAAATGTTATACATTCTTTAAAAAAGAAAGAAAAAAGTATATTTTCTTCTCAAGTTCTTTTCCACTAAGTACTGTCTATAATTAGATAGTTGTGGTAGAAATTTGTAGTCCAAATGGTGAACTGTGGATTTGCTAGATTATGAAAAATTTTATGTAATAACTTTCCACTTTAGTGGTTAATATCAGAGCTCCGAGGAGCCAATCAGGGCAAACATTATTAATGCATGAGTTAGCGCAACCATTGTATGAAGCACTGGGTGACCTGAAGAATTGTCCACCATCATACTTGTGCCTGCAAAAAATAATAATAGTTGTGCAGATTTATTTCTTCTTTCAAAAAAACCAACAATCCCCTTTTCTAACAAACAGGAGATTTATCAAAAGTGTTATTGAATTCATATTTTACATTTTCTGGTAGATGTATTAAATTCATAAGCTAGTTATATTTATCTCAAATATTAGCTGAAAACTACAACCCCATAATTCTTTTCCATCTTAAATTTTAATCTAAAGAGAGAGAAACATCAACCCTACCATTATTTAGTTCCAAGGAACAATACATTCTAAATTCTTGATACATAACCAGATGCTCATGAGATGGTTTCATTATCTAATATCCCTGAATGTATAATAATTTCAACACTTTTTCTACCAACCATGATACTTTTGAGATGCAGTCATGGACAGTAAATTGGACTATGTCCAGAAATGAAAGTTTGAAAATTGTGCTATTATTGATTCTTTAATATAGAAGGGAATAAAACTGGGATTGGTCACCCCTGAAATGTTATTTTTTTTCTAAACCATTTATTCTTAGTTTTCCTAATATCACACCAGGTAGGAAATTAAGGAAAATAGAATCAAGAAGGGGAATATGAATGTGCTTGCCCTGGAAGACAACAATTTGAGTTTTTAGAGATCTGGTGAATTGCTGTCTCTACTGGAAAAACAAAATGATGCAAGCAGTTCAAGATTTTGTTTCTTTTCTGAAAGGAGTACACAAATGTTCTAAATAAATGAATAAAATGCAAAATTGTATTCAGGAAAGGGCAAACGCACCACTGTTCCTCAGAATGTGTACATCTGCTGGATCACCATCTCCACCTGGGCCTGTTGTCCTAATTTGCACCAATGCATGAGTTGAATCTTCTTGGATTGGGATCTCAATCCAATTATTATTGGCTATGTATAGAACAGGAGCTGAGTGTATATCAGGATGATACAGCATCTGTGGATGAAAGCACTTTTGAGTTTATTGTTGGTCTCTCCTATGTTTTCAATTTCTTCCCTTCCTTCTTTACTATCCAGAAAATCTGCACATATTCTTCAATGAAATATACCCATCTTCAACCTATGCAAATTTAAGAGGACTTACAATATATAACCTTAGGTCTACAGACAATAGCCTGCAGGTTGAAAACACATTCTAAGGAACTGCCAACAAACACAGAACCAAGACTTTGGTTGCAGGACCTGATTTTCAGTGATTAATGCAGTAATCCCGCCATTCCATGAACTGTTTGTAATGCCACCATGTGCACTGATATGTTATACTGCTCTTTAAAAATTAAGAATCACTCACTCATGGGGAAAATGCTACAGATTATAAATACCTTGTAACCAGTGACAACAGATTCATCTGCTTTGGCAATCACAGGATCCCACTTAATGCTTACGCTGGAGCTGGAAAATGTCCAGGTAATGTTGCCAGGCAGCATTTTTGGTGCTAGAAAATGTAAAAAGTAGATATTTAAAGAAAGTGAACAGAAGGCAAACTGTAGCCTGAATACCACAGCCAACCTCTTCATCTCTCTAAAAGCTATTAATGTTTTATTTTAGTGACTCATAGATGCACCAAGTTTCTTTTCCTGGTTCATTTGAAAAATGGAAGAATTTAAACATCTCTATTGTATTGTATTTATTCCTAGATACTTCACAAATGAGAATGGCTCAGTGGCTAAGACTCTGAGCTTGTCGATCAGAAAGGTCAATAGTTTGGTGGTTTGAATCCCTAGTGCTGCCTAACTGAGTGAGCTCCCATTACTTGTCCCAGTTTCTGCCAACCTAGCTGTCCAAAAGCATGTAAAAATGCAAGTAGAAAAATAGGAACCCCCTTTGGTGGGAAGGTAACAGTGTTCCGTGCACCTTCGGCATTTAGTCATGTTGGCCACATGACCACAGAGACGTCTTTGGACAATGCTGGCTCTTCAGCTTAGAAATGGAGATGAGCACCACCCCTTAGAATCAGGAACAACTAGCACATATGTGCGAGTGGAACCTTTACCTTTATCTGTAAATTGTGATCTTTCACACTAAAAACAGCCACTGCTATACCACGTCCTTTTCCTTTGGAAATGTCAAAAAGTCTAAATCCCAGATATTTACTGAGATTTTTGTAAACTGCAAAAAACATGGTGGGCAAACTGCAGTGGGCTTGGGCTGCCCACACATTCTATTTTATCCATCTTTTCTCAGAAGGCAAAATGCCATATTTCCTATAGAGCCAATAAAAACAATGGGTGCATAAATCGTGATTTTGACATTTCTGCCTGGCATGCATTACCCTCTCTTTGAACAGATTCATCTTCATCTTGACATCCTTTCCTGGAGATATTCTTGCCATGTGCTTCTGGTTCCAAATGCTCCCTTGTTTTACATTTACAAGGGAAGGACCCTGATATTGTTTGCATGCTCTAAGAGGCACTCAAAAATAGCCCCACTAAGATGAAACAACAGAGAAATAATATATATAAAAAACAGATCTCCACTGCAAAATGATAGGTATAGAAAATAATACCCATGAATATTACATGCAGGCAAAGTACATGAAAAACAGAGGAATAATTGCTATTTATTCAAATGTTCACTTACGTGGCTTTTTTGTCCAGAAACTCGTGGGGGAGCTTGCTGGCCCAGTTCCTGCCCCATTGTATGCTCTGACTGACACATGGTAATTTGTATTGGGATGGAGGTCAGTCACATGTGCCAAGTTGACAAGACCTGCTGTTCTTACTCTGTCAGCAGCTTCTTCTTTGTCACCATGTTTCCAGTATCGGATCTGAAGATAGTAACATACATTTCCATACAGAGGAAGGTTCAGTTGATCCTAAGCAACAATCCGGGCTTCTTAGGCATTGAATAAATTCTGTTGATTTACCATTACATAAATATAAACTGAATAGCCCATGTTACCATTCCATAAGAACAGCCTGTGTCATTTTATAAGACAATTTGCTGATTTAGTGAAGTGGCTTCAACATAAGTTGAGACTTCAAAGCAAATAATCTGGTTCTTATTCTTATAGGTAATATTTTACAAGGTTCTACCTTGTTCTAGTTTCAGTCCCATCTCTTACCTCATAACCCAAGAGGACTCCGTTCATATCATGATGTTCCACAGAATTCCAGGAAACATCCATTTCTGTGGCCATTACTGCCTTGACTGTAACGTTAGAGGGAGCCACTCTTGGTTCTGTCAAAGTAAAATAATTCAGTAGGAAAAATTCCTTCACATGTAGGGCACATCTAATCCAGCTTTAAAGATGAAGATCAGAAGCAAGATCAGCACTCTGGACCAAAATGTAAAAGACCAAGCAGTAGACATCTTATCAAAAATGCTACTGATTAACTTCATTAATGTGCTTTTAGGAGAAAGAAAAGAAAATTAAACTGATTCTAAGCTAGAATCTATAGGGAAAAATGATAGCTGACTATATATTATTACTTCGAATTTTACTTTTATAACTATTAGAGGAAATTCATATACTTTCCCAGACTGTGTGTAGGAAACTGTCAGATAGTGGTATATCTTGAAATCAAGAACTTCTGCTACAGATCTTTTAAAATCTTTTTAATCCCAGTTTACCTTCTTCTGCAGAATGCACAATAGATACTAGGCTTTCTGGGCCCTCTCCCTTCCTATTGAAGGCCTTGATCTTCACTTCAAATGGTGTATAGGGAGCAATGCTCTCATTGCGGAAAACATAATGTACGGATTCTGCATGAGGCACAGTTGCAATCTTCCAGGACTGGGTATCTTCTTTCCGGAAATAAAGCCTATATCCAAAATCATCTCCATTTTGGTATTCTCGTTGCATCGGCTGAGATGAAAGTTGTGACATGAAAAAAGGAGAGGGTAGGTTAACAATCAGTGATCAAAACAGAAATACTGAAAAATACTTATGCAGTTAAGATTTTATAATGCTATTATATTACAGGTTAATGTACGCAATAATAATACAAAACATCCAAATTAGCAAAACAAAAAACAAAACAAAAAACCAACCCATACCAGGTAAAAATCTGTTCCCAGTAACAGTATGTTTCATGTATATACAGCATATATTGTACATATTTATTCCTCTGCTCATTGTAAGAATTCACCTCTACAATATTCTCAACATATCTCTCTCAATCTAGATAGACTCCACTGTACTATTTTCTGAGATAATCTATTCCACTGTTGAATCACTCTTTATACTGAGAATTTGTTTTTAAAAATATCTAACTGTTGTGGCCCAGCAGGAGCCGTTGGAGCTGCAAACAGACTCCGACAACGAGGGGTCTTATGAGTCAGCTCTGGAAGAGGTGGAGGACCCTGGACAGGGTTCCGACTCCAAGCAGGGCGCAGAGAGGCTGGTTGACCACCAGGAGGCACCTGAGGCATGAAGCAGCAGTGAGAGCCGAAGGGAGTGTGCTCATGATGTCAGGCCTTGGAGTAGTGACGGGAGACAAGGGAGGTGGTCCTGGATGCCAGGCAACGCTGCGCAGATCGACGGAGAAAACAGCTACACAGTTACAAAAGATAATTGGACTCAGCTGGTTGTAATTAGGCTCCTCTCAAGATTGTATTTAAGGAGGGACTCGGGGAGGAGTCTGATTTGCAGCATTCAACTTCATTCATAACGCTGGAGAAGCTGTTATCTGTCTATGTCGGAGTCTGAGTTGCTGCCAAGGTTCTTATCTGTTTGTTTATGCTTGGGCTTTCAGCCACCGAAGTTTATGTTTCCTGTTAATTAAAGTGCTGTGAAATTCCAGTTAAGCTTGTCTCGGCATTTGTTACTGGATGGAGGAGGGGGTCAGAACATCTAACTATTTTACTTTCTTGTCATTTAACTACTTCTTTTTTCTTGTCCAGTCTTCTGGGACAGCTCTGAAAAATTTTGCTCTGTCCTTTCATGACACTTTTCAGATTCTTGAAGACTGCTATCATGTGTCCTTCCGGTCTTCCCTTTTCCTTGTTAAGTATATTCAGTACTCCAAGTCATGCCTCAAATAACTGGGGAAATTCTTCCAGACCCTTAATAAACTGGGTTTTTGTCTTCTTGACATGTTTATCTTTGTCCTCTCTAAAATTTGATGTTCAAAACTGGACTCCATATTTTTAGTATGGTCTCACCAATGTCAGTCAGGGAGGAATTATTTTATTTATTTATATTTCATGTTTCTAGACCTCCCACCTCCCATAGGAATTATTCTCTAGGTACAGTACTGACATTGTCATTATATTGCAGCTCCTTCACATTGTTGCCTCACACTCAATTTGGAATTCACCAAGACAATTTTAGCATGTTCTCCTATCCAGTTTGATCTGCCACATCCTACATTTTAATGGAATTTAATGCATCTATGTATTTTAATCCAATTTCTATAAAATGTTACAGGTGGGTGAAAGCCTATTGTGCACAGTTGCTTTAAGGTAATATTTAATGTCCATTAAACAATGTTTGCATTTTTATATAGTTATTCATGCAACATTTATAAAGAAAATGTTGGCACACAAAAAATGATTTCTCCATGACTACACAAGAAAATACAGGAAATGTAATACCAGGTAATATTCACAATATTCGTGTATTTTGAATAGCTGCTTTACTTCCATGTTCCTAAACATTCCTGTTAAACAGAAAGTGTACTACATTAATTATGAAAATGTATACTTATGTGGCCAACTTACTGTCCAATTGATAATGAGTTCCCCTGGTGCTCCTCCTCCTCCACTAAGTCCTGATGGTGCAACAGTAGGGGCTGTTGTGTTCCCAGTAAAGAAGACAGTATACAAGTTGAATTAAGGGGGGAAAGCCAAATATCAGTGAAAATACCCCATAATTTAATAAAGATATAGCAATATAAACAGCTGATCTGCACTATATCAGATCACTTGTTCGGTATCATGTTGTACGTTGTAGCTCAATACTGTAAATGCTGATTGGTAATTGATAGTCATGATTTTAGAAAGCATTTCAATTGTTCAGATCTGTGGTTGGAACTTTCTATATTCAAAATATCTGTTCTATTACCGAACCATTTCCTCTTCCTTTCACTCTACCAAGTGAAAGATAAAATAAAATAAATGAGATTTGGATTGACTGCTCTTCTGCTTTATGACTTGTTTAACATGATTATTATTTTTGAATATTTAAAGAAGAGATTCTCAAACTACAGATTGGGAACTTCTGGGGCTCATGAGCAATTTAGATGAAGGTCCCCTCTTTTTAATGACACCCAAGGCATGGCATTTGAGCTTAGACTTCTCAACTTTCTTAAGCTTAATGCAATAACACAAAGTGTGATTCATAATTTTAAACTGTTGTGGAGTCACAATTTGTGAACCACTCTTTTAAAGATCTAGGCAAGGAAGCTAAAATACCATACAATAATTTTTTTAAAACTAATATGCATTTTTCAAAAAGAGAATTTTAAACCCCAGAAAGTATGAAAACAATACAAATTATGATAATAAACCTTAACTGGCTGGCTGCCGAACCCAAGAAAGAAGAAGATAATGCATCTTGGCCATTACCTTGCTATGAGAATGCTAATAACATTATGCAGCTGATCCCACATTTCATTATTTTATGTTTTATATATACGCACCAGCTTCTTTGGTTCGAATTTTAGTAGATGGCCCACTGGGCTCTCCACTACCAAGGATGTTGCTAGCCTGGACACGGAATTCATAATCCATCCATGGTATAAGGTTGACAACTTGGGCTGTTTCTGCATTGCCTTCGATATTTATGGGATCTATAACCCAAAAGCACAAAAACAGAATAAATAGAACAACCAGCTCTAAAAGGGAGAAAAGGTTATCTTTATACTGAAACCTACTTAGTGCAGGCAACTGCCCTCAAGAAACTTACTGGTACGCATTTGCTTCCATTGTGGAAAGAGTGGGGTGCGGGCCTGGATGACATATTTAGCTATGGGGCTGTGGTTAGCAGAACCTTGACTCCAACTTAGCTGTACTGTGGTGTCCTTGATGTCTCTCACCACCAATCCCCCAGGAGGGCCTGGAGGACCTACGAAAAAGAAACAACAGAAATTGCATTTAAAAAGTCTGGCTCAAGAGATCCATAGGCTTGCTGGAGGAAGGACCAAATGGGAAGATCTCTATTGCATTGTCTTTCCCTGCCATAATGGCAGTCCTACTCTGAATTCAAATGATAATGTTCAAATTGCCCTTTAACATACAATTTTCAAAGCTGCAACAAAAAAAAAGAGATAACACAATACATGTTTTATTTTGGCCACAGTAGTTAGGTGCAGATTTCATAGAAAAATAAATAATCAGATGGAAAATAGCACCTATGGATAAGGAGTATGACGGATTATATATTTAGTGTAGGCCTTTGACCAGGAGTCTCCAACCTTGGCAGAATTTGCCAGGCTTAAAGCTGCCAAGGTTGGAGACCCCTGCCTTAGACTAAACAAATACAAACCGAACATCAACCATACCCACCAAAAATAGGAATAAATCTTAAAACCAGAGCATGTAACAATGTAAACTACAGCCATTGAAACAAGGATAAAAACAAGCTAAAAATAAAAGAGAAAAGAGAAAGTAAACACCAAAATATGGAAACTGATAGCAAGAAAGAAGCATGAAACTGAACTGGAATGGGTAACATGGCAGGCACCTTTGATTTGCTACACAATGTAATGCCCTCCAAAAAACAGCCTAAGTTATAGTACAGGAAAACATGAGTATATTGCAATTCTCTGCATACACTAAATGTATGAAATAAAAAAGCAGGAAGATATATCATAGATTTAAGTTATAAGCACAGACAATATGGTTTTAACAGGAAAAAAGAGGACATAGGTTGTCACAATCCATCAATGTCCTCCCAATAGATGAAGGACAGTTATCACAAACACAGTACAAAGTATCCAAAAAGCAAAATAAATACTCAGTAATAGCCAAACAATCTTATAAACTTAAACTTAATCAAAAGCCCAACATTAGTACACCAGTTCCATGTACATTTTATTTACCAGTGCTTCACAAATTTGAGGTAGAGCAAAACTATTTCAAAACTTATTATTCACATTGTAAGAAAGAATCTCCACATGCCTCTTATTTTACTTTCGAGTGCAATGCACATTTAAATGACTATGTTTACTTCAAGTGCTGTGCTGGTGTGCTCATAAGACTGAAGCCTTTATTACTAATTTATATTATCTTAGGTGAATTTGTATACATGCAACAAAATATACTTCTATCTCTTGTATTGATGAACACAGAAATAAGAGGCAATTTCAAATCACAGAAGTCAGCTATCTCTCAGGTAGACAAAACAGAAGCAATTAAAAAGGGAAACCGTTATTTCAAGAAAAAGGAATCAAGAAAAAAAATACCTCTTACAACTAGCATAGCTGATTCAGAGGCACTGTCCACCACTGTCTGGGCTGTGCAAGTATATCGGCCAGCATGTTTCAGTTGAGCATTCAAGACCACAAGATCTCCAATATTCTCTTTCTGTCCATGGGAGAAGCAAACCATTAGCAACGGTGTTAGAATAAAAAAAGTTTGCAATGCATACATTTAAAAGGATGCTTTAAAAAGAGTGCATTACCTTGGAAATAGACATATCTTTGGCAAAAAGACTTAAGACCATCATACCTTACAATTTATTTTCTGGGGGAAGCAGGGGAAGTAGCATAAAGTACTCACTCTACTAGCTCGTTTGTAATGGCCTTCAGACTTGCTGAAGTCAATTAAAATGTCATCCAGGGACCAAGTAAAAGTGAGGTCCATTGTTGGGTCATGGGCGGCATGGCACTGGAGGGTAATATCTTCACCTAAGTTGATGTCAGCACTGGATGGTGCAAGAGTGATTTTAGTAGCATCTGCAAAAAGGTAAGCAAAATGATAATTCCCAATGGAAAGCCATTTGTATGTATATGAAGATTAAAAAAAAACCTTGGGAACATGCATGGGAGCTGAGGTTTCTGATATCTCCTTCTACTCTTAGAGGGGAAAAGGAATTTTAAAAATCCCATGATTCCTGGAAGGTCTTTTAGATTCCACAGGACAGTGTGGATAGTAAATTAATGACGTGTTTTCTTCCAGAGGAGAATTTTTATTGACAAAATGTACTACTACCTTTTCCATTGTTGTTGTATTTGTCCCCATAGAAATAAAACATGTATCCTTACCACGGACTGACAGAATTCCTGTGCTGTTTGCTTTGCCCATGAAATTCTCAGCAAAGCAAGTGTATTTCCCTTCATCGGGCTTGCTAATATTTTGAATGATCAGGGTGCCATCTGGAGTAATAGTTATGCTGTAACAGTAAACACATAGATATGACAGTCACAGAAGCCTGGGTTAAAGAACTGGAGGCAAAGCATCAAGACACAGATGAGTTTTGCCCTGTAGAATAAGGAAGGTGTCAAGAACAATATTCCATATAAAATAGAACTTGGATGAAATGGATGGAGTTACTGGTGGCTTGCATCTTCTCATCAGTAAGACTGCAATACTATTGTGGTTAGGGTGTCATTTTTAAGAGACAAAAAGAAAGTAAAGAGGATAACTGATGGAAGGCCAATTAAATTAAATCCTGTAAAATACCCTCTGCTCACTGGCTTACTTTGAAGTGATCTGAAAGGGTAGAACCAGTGTACATTTCAGTTATAGTGCTATATTAAGACTCAGGACACTCAAGTCCACCCAACCACAAAGCTGACTTTGCATATTCTTTCTCTTCTTGTCTCTCTGTCTCTTTCTCTTTCTTCTCTCTGTGTGTGTCTCTCTCGCTCTATCTCTTTATGTCTTTATCTCTGTCACAAAAAGATGTGCACTCAGTCAGTTCAAATGGTCTGCCATAGCTAACCAAAAAAACCCCTTCAATATTCTATCCTATATTCTATTCTATTCTCTATTTTTTATTCTCTATTCTGTTCAGTTTTATTCTATTTTCTGTTCTATTCTATACTCAGATCAACTCTATATTCTATTATATTATAATTGAAAATCTGGACATCACTGCACATTCAAATCAATTAATGGGCTTCAAGCAAAGCCACAACAGATTATATGTCTTTGAACAATCATCCTTAACTGGAAGTAAGGCTAACAGAAGACAATTTCAAGGAAGCATGGATGGGATCAGACAAAACTTGCATTAAAATCAGTCCCACATTTAGACTAACTAATAGAGCTTGCATTAACTAGAATATTTATAAAGCTATTGACACTAAGCTAAAAATAGAAATGGATTTCTCTTACCTGGAACTGTTCCTCAGCAGTTCAGTGCCTTTGGTCCAAAGTATTAGAGCCTTTGGGGCAGCTCTGGGCTGACAGTGAATAATAATTTCTCCACCTCGAGCTGCTGGTATCAATTGTCTAACAGGGTTTAGTCGAAAATCTGGAGCAAAGGCTAAATAGAAAATACAATTAATGAGCTTTTACAAAGTAATTGTTTCTTGGTCATTAAAAATAATTTGCATTAAGATGACCTAATGTACCATGCAAGAACAACCACTTTAAATGCATTGCCTACGGTTAATTGAATAATTGTAAATATTATAATAGTGTAAAAATCAATCTGGTTAGCATGAAGATCCTGAAAAGCTGCCCAATTCTTCCCCAAATTTCTGCCTTTTGCAAGTGATTTTTAAACATGCTTTTCTATATAAAAATCTACAGCATCTGTTAAGCAATTTAGGCTAAGTGCCAAGCCACTACTCTATCCAGCTTTTTAAGCAACCTGCAGTTTTCAAAACCACACTATCACAAAACCACACTGTTGACCAGGAATCTAATGTTTCTATTGACAGGTCTTGAGGAAGCATATGTGATGATGTCACCAATGCCTCTGTATGCCTTCAAGGTCATGGAAAATTCCTCAGGAAACACCTGAGGTGAGACACCCAATGTCCTTGGAGAACCTCCGAGAGAGGTAGCTGACTATTTCTGTATTTCTTTATTTTATCTAGAGGGTGCCAACTTGTCTGGGTGGAGTGTGCCATTTCAATCCTTCTAGCCACACCCGAAACCAGCAAAACAAAACAATACCATATTCAATTCAGGACAACTTATTAGGGCTGGGAAAATTAATTTCCCGACCTTATTGATAAGCAATTCTCATTTAATTCTGGGAAAGCAAGAAATTACCTTGGACATACAATTCTGCACTTGCATAGATTTTGCCATGTTTGTTCTCTCCTATACACTGGTACATCCCTGAGTCTTCCACTGTTAACTTTGATATCTTTAAATTTCCACCATTCACTTCAATGCGATTCTGTTTAGACAAGGAAATGTCAAAAACAACATTATTATCAAAAATAATGTTATTAATTTTTTGTATAGAACAATAAAAGAATGCAAATTATAAGAAAAATAGAAAAATTGCAAGAAAAATATGAAAAAATATATAAAATTATCCCTAGTTCCCCAAAAAGCAATTTCACACCCTCATCATGGCAATGAAAAACAATTTCAGAATCTCTTTACTTTATTTTAGGTAATAAATATAAAACATTTTAATCCCATCAGCCATCTTTTAATAATGAACAAATCAAATAAGTAATGTAATTCTTCAATCCAGTTATCAGCAAAAGATCCAAACAAATATCTAAGTTTTTAACATTAATGGACATATACAAACTCAAAATTCCATACCTCAACTTAAGTACAAAAAAATCCCATATAAATATCCTCAATATCCTAATATAAATGGACTAAAAGAATACCTCACTTTAATGTGACAGAGACTTTTTCACCTTTAAAAAAGACAAGCTGGAAAATAGAATTTTAAATAGCAACTTATTTCATTCAAATATGCATTTCTTATCTCCACTGTAACTCATTAGCAAAGTCACATTTCAGAAATATAAAGAAATCCCAGTATTCTAATATAAACCAGAAACTAACGTTTAAAAGGGAAATAATTCCTCCTTTAAAAAAACAAGTTATCCAAGTAAGGAGTTGAACTTGAAATTCCTTATTTCGAAGAAATAAAAAGAAACAATTAAATGCAAAACCATTTTAAATACTCTAAAGTTATAATTAAACCAAGTAACTATAGAAGAAAAGACTTTTGCATCTTATTTTTTTTTTTAACAGAACTTTTTTATTTATTTA